GGATTACTGGTTAATTTGGTCCAAGCATTTCACCACTAGCAACTCTAAAAATTAGAGAATATCCAATTTAACCAGCAGCACCTGTGATGGCGACTCTAACAGGTGGCTTTAAGGATTGACCAAAATGAGCAATTGAAGCTCTTGTAAATTGATTGGTAAGGGCTTTTTGGAGATACTTTTGCATTTTAGATATTTAATTTATTTCTGGATTTGCTACATCACTACATTTATTTTCTATACATAATACGTAATATTTTTATAACTATGGATTTCAATACAAAAGTAGATGAATAACTAATCTATGAAGGTAAGTGGCTACATTACAAATTTCTACATTTTCAAGTAAATGGACACAAAAAAGTATGGGAATTTGTTGAAAGACCTCCAGGTCATAGAGGAGGAGTTGAAATCATACCTATTATCAAATATAAGGATAAACATTCATAATTGATTATTATTGCCAATTTCAGACCTCCTATTAGAAAATTTTGTCTTGAATTCCCATCAGGATTAGTTGATTAAGAAGGTACTATAGAAGAAAATGGTCTGAGAGAAATAAAAGAGGAAACTGGATATACAGCACAGATAGGGAATTATCAATACAATGGAGTAAGAATAAGAAATGATCCTTGGAAGTCTACAGAAAATGAAGTAAGTATTATTGTTGATATTGATGGGGATTCTGAAATTAATGTGAATCCCAAATAATAATTGGAATCAGATGAGAATATTATTGTTTATAAAATGAATATGGGAAAGACTTTGGCAGATGAGATATTATAATTGGCTAAGGAAAAGGATTATGAAATTAGTGGATTGTTATGGTTTTTTGCATTAGGGCAATAATTTAATAATTGATAAAATATAATTATTTTTAGTATTCAATTATGTTATTCTTATCCATATTGATAGGAAATTGTTTAGCTAAACTAAATCTAACTATTGGAATTGATATAAACAATAAGGAATCATTAGCTTATTTGGGTAGATTAGAATAACATTATGAATAATTTGAAAAAAAAGGATGTAATTCTGTTCTAATTCAATTAAGTAAGCTTGAACATTCTGAATCACATTTTGCCATGCTATACATGTAAACAAAGACATAATTATACTTAACCTGAATAAAATTGCTTTGGAGGTGGAAGATATTGCTGTAAGGAATTTTTTATTCAAGCTTAGAGTTTTCAACTTATGCCAATGGTCAATTATTGCTTACAGAGATTCTCAGATAAAATTGTTTATTTACATATGAGACTTAATTATTTTTAAGCTATCTCAATTTATTTTAGTAAGATTGTTTCGAAAATCCACATTATACATTTTGCTCAGAAAATATATTGAATAAATTACTTAATATAAATACAACAAAAGTTAATGAATGCATTAATGCTAGCTTTTAAGGATAGGGTGATTAAGCATTATTAGAAAATAATTTATTGGCTAAAGAAATGGATAAATAATATAATTAAAGTTAACTAAGTGTATACTTAGATAATAAAGATATATCAGATTAGACATTTCCTGAGATGATTGTCTAATTATGTTAAAAATTAAAAGATGATCCACCTGAATATTGCAATATATTTTCACTTCTTGAAAAAAACACAACTATAAAACTAGATGATTATATATACTTTGCTCTATTTATAGTATTACTTATACTCTTAATATTGATATCAATAAGGGTCTTAAGAAGAGCGAACAATGTTATTTAGGATAAATAATCAATACCTGTTGAAGAAACGATTGGAATTATTTCAGGGGTAAATGTACAATGATTTTTGTAATTCTATTAGAGTGTTAATATAAATAATCATTTATCTAGCTTATGATTATTTTTAATGTATATGTTCTCTTTCCTTTTATTAATAAAGCTACTTTATTAATAGATATATTCAAATAAAACTTACTTATTAAGAATGATCAAGATAAACTAGATTTTCTTTTAAATATCATTCACTAAATTATTTATTCTAACTATTTATAATTAGTTATTAATAATTGATTTGATTTCACTGCTGACATTATTTTATTGCTTTTATTTTTATTAAAATAATTAAATTAAATAATTTGTATTATTCTTAATCTTTTATTTATTACGATTATGATCAAAATGATAATTAAGTCGATTACATTAAAACCATTATAAAATTACAAAAATATTCAAATCCTATTCAAAGGATATCAACAACTTATCGGTTCTTAAAAATTATCTCAATTGCCTCCTAAAATATCTAATTTTCAATTAAAAAATGAAAAAATAATTGTAAACTCTACAATTTTATTTCAATATAAAGTTATATATCTTCAAAATAAATAGTTTCAAAAGCATTTATCCATAAATATTTTAAATATAGATAATAATCAAATTATTATCAAACTAAGAATATATGTTCCCCATTTAATAATTCTTTAAATTAAACAAATTTTTTACTGAAAACTTGAAAATATTACATATCTCTACTTGTTCTAATTTTAATTTTTAAATTAAATTTAATATATATTTTTTATGAAATAAATTTTCAGTCAAATATCATCTTAATATGTTAAAGTGAGATTTTAGTGTGATTACAAAAAATGACTATTCATTTAGAGGTAGATATAAAATGTTAATATTAAGTAATACTGGACAAATTATAAATATGTAATAATTAATTATAATAAGAAGTATAATCATAAAATGAAATACCTCTTAAGTTATTAAATTCATTAGCGCTTTTTTCTGAAACCTAGACTTCTACTTTTCGAATTGTTGGGCTAAGCAGAAACATATAAGAGACTTTAATTTATTTCTGGAGATATCACTGATTTTACCCTTATTTCAGTTCTTGGGATAGGTATATCAATTTCAGCAGATGAAAAAATAATAAGAGGCTATCTAGTTTTTCTAAGATTAAATTTTCTCTCTTGTAATGTGGAATAATCAATTTGGTATTTATATTTTTCTTTGACTTCTGAAAGTGTTTTAAGGGGTAAGTTCATGGTTTACAACTTTTAATCTAGAGTTAATGGTTAATTATAATCAAGCATAGATTCCATCATAGGTTCTTCAAACATTTATAAAAATAATAATAATAATAATATTGATATTAAAAATAAAACTTATTGATTGGATTATTTAATATCCCTCAACAAAGTACTTAAATTTTAATTTTAATTAATAATTTTAAGTTCTAAAAATCATTGGCATATTTAATTATAAAACATTTAATATGATGATAGTCTTAATTAATAGAGAATAAAAATTATAAAAGAATCAATTAATTTAATGATATAAAAGTAATATATTTCAATTAAAATTTAATTAAGAGCTCAGATCTTATTTGAATAGATTAAAATATTTTGCAATCAACTCTCTACTTATTTCAATTTATCTTTCAAAGTTATTCTTAAATAGAAATAGGAACTCTTAATAGTAATTTTGGATTGGGTTCATTTTAATATATTGGTGGTCTATCTAAATGAACCTCTGTTATTTTTCCCTCTTTTAAATTGGGATTTAAGTTTCTTTTCTTTTTTTCATATCTTTTTAACTTTTTATAATCAAGATGTTTTCTTTCTTTGATCTTAATTCCATTATTGTCTTTTTCAAAACATTAAAAATCATTCATATTTTTAAACATATATTCAAGTTACTACTTGCTATATGGTTTAGGCTGAATATTTTCCTATTGTAATTTTTTAAGCTCTGTAAATTTGATTGTTTCTTCTTTTCTTCTTAATTCTTCTTAACTTAATTTTTCTTCATCAATTTTTCTTTATTCTTCCTTTTTCTATAATTCTTATTGTACCTTACTTTATTATTCAATTTTTTATGATAACCTGAAATTTTATTTTTTGCTAATTTTGGGTCAATTTCAAATTGATATTTAGTGTTTCTGAGTTTTTTTTTATCTTTTACAAGTTGATGATTTTTTAGAGGTTATTTTTATGAATCTTCAATATTAAAAGGTTGAGAATTTACGTTCAACTTTTTTGATTTTACTAGTATTCATTATTTTTAATTAATATTATGTAGAAATTTGAAAAGGAGAGATATTTTCATAAGAGTCCAGAATAAGTATTTATGATTTATTTATCAGATAAGAAGGGAGAAACTTGATATGAAGATGCAAAATGTCAAAGATGATCAATAAAATGGTGTCATTAAATATTTCATGAAACATAAGAGTTCAGATTAACTGTAGTCTCCTGTTCATAATGTTTAATACTATAGTAATAAAGACAAACCAAAAATGATACTTTATCGTACTCTTTAAAAAGTTCAAGTTGAACCTGAAGTTAAGATAGATGAAGTTAAGGAATTAAGATGGCGTGTATTATCTAAAAATTGCCAGAATTTATTAGAATTAAGTAGAGTTGCACTTGATAAATTAAGTGATTTCAAATTTGTTTCACCAACACCTTAATCTTCTATGCCAACATCAAATCCTAAAGTTAAATTTCTATCTAAAAGACATTCAATTGAACTTCGTTTAGGAGATATCATTACTCCACCTCCTTCATAACCTAAACCTGTTCCTAAAATACTTTAAGATCCATTTTATGCCAAATTTAAGAAATTTTATTAAAAAATTGGGTTGCAAGTTAAGGAGCCTAATAAATATAATCTCAATCAAGATGATAGATAAACATTTTAAAGTTCTGAAAAATAAACACATAAGAAACATAGAAGTTTACATGTTTCTCCACAATAATCAAGTTTGAATTTCTGTTAAAAGAAACCAAAGAATGCTTATTTTCTTTAAGAACTTTTAAAAGTTTCTTCAAATGCTTATAGATTTCAAGTAAATTTAAAAAAAGATTAATCAGAAAATATTGAAGAAACAAGTTAAAAATTGAATAACATATAATCAGAATTTGATAAGTTCCATAAGTTATTAAATTAGTCTGATTCATTTTGAATATGTAAAAATGTTATATAAATATTATTATTAATGTTGATAAAATAAATTAAAGAAATTCTACAATTAAAACGAAACTTTTCAGAAGATAAAGGAGATAATAATCTAAAACTTAACAACTTTAATGGTTTCTTAGATTAACATTAAAGATGGGTTAATGGATAAAAAAGACTTGAAAATTGTTTATAAAGAATTGCAAGATTAGATGATGGTAAACAAAAGTCTGATGAATTTTTTTATACTGATTCTACAAAATAAATGTAATATGAATTTAGTTTATTACTTGCAAAATAATTACTTAAATAAATTACAAATATTATGTTAAATAATAAGTTTCAAGATTACCTTAATTATTGTAAATAAGGTGATGATTACTTATAATCGCTTTTAGATAAATTCTAATATATTCAAAATTCAGATTCAAAATATTAAGAATAAGAAATTGATACTAGAAAATATTTATTTGAGATAACAATCAAATACTTTAAATCAATAAATATTGATTATTTAAGAAAAATAGTTAATTAATAACGATCACTTGAATATTATGTAAATTAAATATAAGAAGCTATTTTAGAACTCTTTTATGAAGATTATATTCTTAAATAATAAACTGAAGATTATACTTTTAAAATATAAGAATAGAAAAAAAAAATATTAAATAATAATCCAAAAGATTAAAATTCACTTATTACATAAAAACTTAAATAATAATTACCTGAACCTAATAATCATGAATTAGGATATGAAAATAAAGAAATTAATGTTTTTTGTGCACTTAGCAATGATGAATAATATGGAAAAGTTCTTGAAGAAGCACTTTTATTTGATTCATTTTATTGTGATAAATTATTAACTAATCAATCATATCATAATTAAAAGTAAAGAAAATTCAAAGTTTAATCATAAAAATATAGTAAATAAGATTTAGAACATTTTATAAGTCATTATAAAGTAAGCTAACTTAGAATGACTAAAAAACACATAGGTGAATTAAATAAAACAGATTATTCAAATAGATATTATTAAACTAGAGAATAAAGAATTAAAAGTGAAAATAATAAATCTAGAATAATTGAAGTAACTGATAAAATAAATAAAAGAAGAATTAATACTATATAATAATTTTTTAAAAATGATCCAGAAATTAAAAGATAAGAAAATAAAGAAGTTATTGATTTCTTAGTCAATTATAATTATAAAAATGTACCAAAAACATTATAAAATTTTATAATTCATTAAAATTCAAATGAAGAAAAAGATATATCATCAGAATTATTACATAAATTATTTTTTAAATACTCTAATAAATATGAAGAAGATTCAAGTTAAACATTTTAATTTATGAATGCATAAAATTTCATTTCTTTATGTAAAGATTTAAAAACATAAATAAGTAGTGATGAAGGACTTAGAATATTTCATAAATGTTTAGAAGATTAATCATTTTTTTTAGATAAAGGTTTGACTTATTCATTTTTTCTTGATGCTATTAGAAATCTGGCTTCAATTACAAATGAGATTGATACTAATAATCCAGAATTTTAAAGAGATGCTAATTAAGTGAGATTTAGATTTAGCAAAAAGGAAATTGAATAAAATTCAGATCCCCAATAAAAAATTAATAAGTAATTTTATATATTTATATGTTAGATTCTTATAAATTTATATATTTCCAAATAAAACATTCATTTATGAATCTATTGATCTACAATTATAAAATTGTTAATATTATACAGATTTTCTAGAAGCCTTTAATCCATTAATTGCAGAATTTTTTTAAAATTCTAAGAATGAATAATCATAATTTATTAATTTTGATGATGTAGTTAAAGTTTTTATGAAAATCAAATTATGTCCATCTAAAATTACTAAAGCTACTCTTAGATATTATTTTTATTATAATTAAATTGAAGATGAAGGACTTAATTTATAATAATTTCATAATTTCTTAAATTTACTAGCTTTACAATAAAATAGAAAGATCATAAGCAGCAAAGAAACTTCAAATGTTATTTAATATTATACATATATTTTTGAATAAAAAAATGGTATATCTAATGATACCATAGCTTTATATAAAAAAATAATGATGTTTTATATTCATAGAGATTATTTGAGATTGCTCAGATTAACTAAATTAGCTGAGTTCTCAGTAGAAAGAAGAGAATCATATTAAGATTTTTGAATAATTATTATCATAATAAACTACGATAAACTAGATTTATATAATTTGCCATTTCTTATTTGACTTGTCCTTTTGCTAAATAAAGTGGAACAGATAATTTAAAATCACATTCTGACCATAATTATACTAGTGAATAACTATCAACTTTAAAAACTATTGTTGAGAACCTTAAAAACTAATGTTTAATATAACCTCTAAGAAAAATACTCCTATTTCATTACATTTTTTAGAGGTTGGATTATATATCCACTTAATTCTATATTTCCTCTCACAATTTTATTTTATATAGGACATATTGAATTATCAATAATAGATCTGCTAGCATCACACCATATATCATTATCTTTATTAATTTATTCTGTTTTTTTAAAGTAAACAAAATCTCTTGCTGATACAATTGAAACACTTTTATAACTTAAATATATAAGTTGTTCTAGTTTTTCTGGATGTTTTTTTATACATTTAAATTAATCGATCCTATTATCAAGTTTTATTTAATCTTTAAAATCTCCCATAAATTATATAAACCTTTCACTTTTACATGGAACTATAAATTAACTAAAAGTAACATTAATTTTATTTCCATCTGGTAATTATACTTATCTTATAAATAATTTTAAAAAATGAGGACTTTTTGTATCATCTAACAATAAACTCCAATTTTTCTCATTTAATGGAAACTCCTAAATTTTTTATTAAATTTATGTTATTATCTCTTTTCCAAGTTCTTAATATTAGTTAAATTCATCTGGTTTTATTTCATCAACCTTTATAACTTCTTTTTCTTATTCTGGCTCAATAATTGATTAACGAGTGCTCTTTATATCAATTACTTAAAGTAAATCAATAATCGTTTTATTTTCATATTCTGGATGCTTATATTATTTATAAGGTATTTCCTTTAATTTATCAAGTTAATAATCTATTTCTTATATAAACATTTAATGCTCAATCTCATTTTTTTTCTTAAAAGAACGTTTCCCTAAACAAAAATTATTTCCCATTTTTATTACAATAATATAATCAGTATATGAAAATGAAATGTATTAAATATATTCATCTTATTAAATAATTTTAATAAACACTTTAGATCATTTCAATAAGTATTTACAAAAAAGGTTTATAATAGTATTATAACACTTTAAAAAAGAAGCTATATTATAAATTCTATTACATCAATATACTCAGAAGAATATTTTAATTAATTTAAAACATATGAATCTATAAATATCAAAATTCATGAATATTCTGATTAAGATCATTTAAATTAAGTATATATATATATTAAATCTATTAATTTAAATGATTTTAATATGATGAATATTTTTTATTTATCAATCCCAATTACTTGGTGGAATAGTGTTTAATTTTAAACTTAATTTTTCTACATTTCCATATTTAATTTCAATATCATCTCTTGTTGCATTAGTTAATGCTGTATTTAAAATTTCTACTTCCAAATTATCTAATTTAGATAGTGATTATTCTAAAAGTTACAACATATCTTTGATTCCTTTATCAGTCAATTAATTTTAACTAACTTTTAGTTAAACAATCTAATTTTTAATTATAATAATACTTTTGGTGATTTTGCATTTTTGACTGCTCTTGCTAATTCTAATGCTCCTCTATCTGATAATGAATTGAAATTCATATTGATATGTAAATCTTCTAGATTTTTTTGATATTAAATTCCTTCAGCAATAAATGTAGCTCCAGCATCACCGATATAATTTTCTATATAATTGATCTTCAAACTTTTTAGTTTATTATGTTTATATAGTATGTTTTTTAATAATTCTGCACCCTTAGCACCACATTTATTAACACCTATTATTAATTCTAGTTTATCTAATGGAGGCAACTTTTCAATGGCTAATAAAATAGCTTCAAAACCAATCCATCCAAAATTCTTTGTAGCAGCATTAATTGATAATTCTTTAAGATATTTAAATTATGTTAATGTATTTCCAACTTATATTCCACCTTCATCTTTAATATAATTGAATTCCAAACCCAAATTTAATTTTGTTAAATTATTCATTTATCCTACTACTTTCATTAAACTTTATGTTCCATTTTATGTAATATTATTAAAATACAAATCAATTCCTAATTCTCTTACTTATATTTATTATGATAATCCAACACTAAGAATATTTACTCCATCTTATTATATTTTATTAGCATATAAATTTAGATTCAATTTCTCTAATTTAGGTAATTTTTAAAGTATTAATTTCAAAGAATCCATCTCTTTCTCTTTTAATTTACTTCCAACTAGTATAAGTTCTAGAGTTTTAAGATTTTAAATTTCAGCAATAGGTACAAGTGATTTAATTCCATCTTCTGACAAATCACAACTTATGAGAGAAATACGAAGAGTTATTAATTCTTTAATCTTAGATATCTATTAAATAATTTTGAATCTGCTTTAATTATTTAAAATTGCATCCATACCAAGATTAATATGTTGTAATTCCTTAAGTTTAGAAAAGGTCTCAACTAATTTTATTATTTAAGATTCTTAATTGATAATTGGATTATTTCCAAATGATAACTTTACTAAAGTATTTTACTCAATTTTTACATTCTTTTAATTTAGTCAAATTGCCGAGACTTTCAAAGAAATTTGTTAAATCAGAAATTTAATTGATTGATAAATCTGCTATCAATTTTGTTGCATCAATATTCTGATTTATTTAAGATGATAGATAAGCAACACCAGAATCTTTAATAAACATTCCACTATTCTCCATAATAATTTCTATTAAATTAAGAATTACTTACAATCTCCATTTATTATACAATTAACATTTTAATATTCATTTATGTATAATTTAATTCCAAATGCAACAAGAATTCCTATTAGTATCCATACAATCTTTCCTAGAAAGGTTGAATGCTCTGTTTATTATTATTCTTATTTTTACATCTTTTATTCTTATTTTTACATTTTTATCTAAATTTTAATCAAATCCAATAGTATTATGACATCTTAATAATTATATATATATATATATAATAGAAGTATTTTGTGATTGTTTATTATTATTTATCTAATCAAAACTTAATTAGTTGATGATAGTTTGAATATATTTATATACTTTGATAAATAGATTAATAGAGGAACATTAAAAATAAATAGTTATTTATAACATTATAGTCAGCAAATAGAATAATCAAGTTGGCTAATTGCATAATGGACATTTATGAACTGCATGAATCCATCTCTCTATACATTCAGTATGGAATCTATGGGTGAAATGACACTCAAGTTAAGTAATATTTTCCTTTTAATCAAGATTTTACAAACATATGGCACATTCCATTCGATCTTAAATTTATATTTATTTTTCTAAATTATCTTATCTCTGACCAACATTCTATTCTATAAATTATTTAAGATTATTAAAATAATCTTCATCTACCTTTTTTCCTTCTAATTGAAATTAAAATTTCTTATCTTCTATCCACTATATTAATGAAATCAATTGTCCACTTCTTGGTTTGACTTTTAATTCTAACTAAGAATTCTGAAATACTATATTGTCATATATTTCTTATAGAGCTTCCAAATCATATATTTAATAGATATTTGTTGATGTTTTTTATTTGTATATTGGAAAGTCTTAATAATTTTAAACCCATTATAATCTCTATTCTTAAGGTTAAGCTAAATTAAAATCAAATATTTAAATCTATTCTTCTTCCTTATTGACACAATAACTTCGAAAAAGGAAAAAGTAAATTAGTTACATGATGGTAAATAGATATATAAAATGTTCATAAGAACAAAATTACTATATTCCAAATAATGAATCTTTGGTAATTGTTTTGTATGGTTTTTCAAGAAAAAAAGCTATATAAGTACAAAAGAGGGAAAAGAAGTAAAGTCCCTTTAAAACACAATTCTATGTAGTATATGATAGATATATTGATTGAAACAATGTCATATAGCATTTGAAATACTTCTTAGAATGTAATGTTATGTTGATTTTTTTGATCAAATAAAGAACATATACTATTTAAGTACAAATGATAAATGAATAAAAGAGACTTGTGAGTTATGTATATTTATAATCCTCTTACTGTATGAATAAAAATATAATATATAGAATTCCTTTAAATACATAATATGTTAGTAGTAATATTCCAAAGAGAAATGCTGTCTTCTATACTTATATTGGAGCTAAAAGTTAGAATAAAATTGATTACAAGGATAGCGCTAATAATTATATCGTTTAGGTTTTTTTGTGACTACTCTAATATTACAACAACCCAACCAACACTTTCTACAAGCATATATTAATATAGTTGCTGCAACTATATAATTAACAATAGCTAATAAGGATCCTATTACAATCTTTGAATTTATTAAGTATGCACTTAATATAAGAGATATTATTGAGAACTAAATATTTAACAGTCTAAACGGGTTATATTTTTCAGTGCTTGTGATTGCATTAATTGTATTCATGCCTGAAGCAAATGCAAAAGGATTCAAAACTATGGATTCATCTTGATGTTTCTCCAATTCAGCTGATATTCTCTTTAAGTCTTTCAAAATTAGAATAAAGTAAGGAATAAATAGTATATAAGTAATAGACAATACTACTAACATCCATATATACTCTGTCTCTTTTTCTATGTTTGTGAAGATCCCCACTATGCCTATTATTGCAAATATTATCATAAATAACACTCCCATCATAACTCCACAGATGCTGCTTTTAACAACGTCTTTGGGATCTTCATCACGTATGTGTATTGATGTAGTTCTAAGTGAAAATGAACGATGCTCTCTGATATGCATCGACGCAGCAATAAGGATCATAATATATATAATATATCATTTTATCATTTTTTCTAATTCTTCTTTCATAAGGGGTTAATATGCCTCCTTAATAGCCAATTGAATTTATATATAGGGCTACATACTTAATATTAATCTTACATCGAATAATTATTTTAACATATTCATTCCTTCTATTAACTTATCAAAAATTGTATCTTGTTTGGGATATGGACTCCAAAGATAGATCTCATAAGAAGTACTTAAAATCATTTATTAATTTTGAATTTCCTACAGTTTTTTCAATAATTATCATACCTCAGATACAAATTCTAATAAATCCATATGTTCTTTTATCTTATTTCCATCTTCAAAATTAATAATAATTTCTTTTATGGCTTATTCATTATGATTCTCTATTATAGCATTTAACATAATTGAAATTTCTGCCTACCAAATCTTTGGATCATCATATTAAAAATGATTATGCACTAAATATGCTTATAAAACTTATAATTCCTTTAAAATGACCTCAGATTCTTTTGGAATCATTCTACCTATTATTATTATAGGTAACAAAGTCTTTAAATTCTTAGAAAATTTAAAAAAATAATTCTACTATTCTAAAGTTTTCACTTTCTTAGTCAAATACTATAAAACCTAAAGAGCTTATATAAATTCTGCTTTCAATAAATAGTCTAATACTAATGTAGCCCAAGCTCCTAAATTTACATAATTTAAATATTCTTATTCAAATTTATTTAAATCATTCTATTCATTTTAAGTCAAATTTTGTGATGGTCTTTTATATTCATTGAATTAAGCTGTAAATTTATTTATTATTTTATTTTTAAACTAAAATTTATAAATTAATTTATACATTCTCACTTAATTATCCACCAAATATACCTTCTTTATTTTCTTAAACTTCACGTAAAGCAGAATCTAAAATAATCCATTTTACTAAATTATCATATTATGTATTTTAATAAGATAATTATGTAGCCTTACATTTAATATAAATTGGGAAATTTAAAGTAAATAATGGTTTAAATTTAATACTTTAAGTCTTATTAACAAGAGTACGAAAATGTTCATTTACAAATTCAAACCTACTTTGATATGACTCTACAATTCTATCTATTATTCTAGCCTATTTATAATCTTCTATTTCATTTTAAAATAATTAGTTTTCTCTTTTAATACAATCAATTTAAGATTGATTAAGGAAATCTCCATAATTATCTTTTAAATAATCATTTTCTGTGCTTGTTTAATACAACCTCTATGGATATTTTAATTCTTCTTGTACAATTTGATTCTTAACATAAACAAGTAAGTAAGCATTGATACCTGGTTTCACACCAAAAGCATCTTGAAATACTTTATCTCTAGTTTCTTCTGTTACATGAATATCATTAAATTTAAACCACTTATTTAATCTAAAATCTTTGATGTAAGTATAATAATGTCCAGAATCTAAGATATAAAATAAAAATTATATATATACTTGCCATTCCTTCATGAATTAAAATAGATTATAAATTATATTTATTTCCTTTAAAATTATTATAAGAAGCTTATATCTTATCTTCTAAATCATTATATTATTGTTATAAGACTTCTTTTCTTTTTAAGACTTGTTATGAATATTTTTAGAGTTATTCTATAGTATTTTTTTAATCGGAATGACCAAAATTGGCAGGATTATGAGGATTATCTTTTGATTACATTTATAAAAATTTCACTGTTGTTAATAGAATATCTTATAGGTCATATTTATCATCAAATTTTGAAAATAATTATAATTCTTATTTAATTTTTTTCTGTTTAATTTTTAATTCTCTAATTTATGTTCTGATATCTAAATATCTTTTACTATTTTCATGAAGGAAACGATCTAAATAGATTTCTTCTTCAAATTAAAATTCATCATTTTGTTTTATAAGATCATCTAAAATAAATATAAAATTATATAATACTTTTCTCTTTACTATAAGTAACTCTTTAAATTTAAAATGATAATGTTTATGGAGCACCTTAAATCCAATTATATTTGGTAGCACAAACAGTTTCACTTAAATCATTTTTAAAATCTTCAATAGAATTGATAATAAAATTATCAAAAGCATCATAAAGATTTCCATCTTTTAAATCAATAGGAATGAAATTATAAAGTTCAGTACTATCTCTACTTTAAGGTACACCAGCTTAATCGAATTACAAGTAATGATGTACTTTACAAAAGAATAATTTGGAAACAGGATCTTCATCATGGATAGTAGATGATTTCAATCTTAAAATAGAAGAAGAACCTTCATGAGGTTAATCTTCTATTTTACTAGGTTAATGTTCATTATAAGCTAAACCTTCTCCAATTCTACTTAAAAAATAATGATTGAATTCTCCAACATCCTTTTAATCACCAATAGGAAGAACATTTCCAAAATCATCACAAATACTCTTAACTACATCTGATGGATCAACATATTTTTTATCACTTCCTATCATACTTAGGAATAGATGTTAAAGATTTAACACCAATTAAATGGATTTTCCTTATTTACCTTATTCAATTTAAGGAGGTGGTTGAAATTTGATAATGATTTTAACAAAATCACTATTAAAGAAATATGTTTAGAGTAATCCATTAAAATAACAGGTGTTACCAACATTCTTAAGACCACATGGTACACCATTATTTCTTTTTCTTTATTCTGGTGATACAATTTCAAATGTAGTTGTTGCTGCTTATGGATTAGTTTTATAAGAGTCTATTAATGCTTAATTTAGTTAAACATCTTCATCTTGTTTCTAATAGATTTATTCAAATATAGAATTACTGTGGGTGTATTAGAAAGTGCATTATTTTTGTCTGATAATGTTAATAGAGTATTGATGACTTCAGCTTCTGTGTTACTCTCTTCCCATGCCATATTAATCAATTCTTTAGAAAATCCCATACCAATATATTGTTCTAATAACTCTTATTTAATTGGTGTCTTCATTTAATTAAATTATGGATATGAAAGTTAAGATTTTTGGAGGTCTTGCAGCAACATTTGCAGCATCAGCCATATATTTATTTTTCAAAGAAAACAATAAATCTCTAAACTAGAAGATGTTTGATGAGATAAATAAAATCAAGAATTACATTGAAAATCATTTTTATGAATGCACTAAAGAAAAAGTTAGATTATTCATAATTAATTATTATAGTTATCCTAAAAGTTAGAAGACAGAAAAGATTTCATAAATCTATTAAATGAAATAGCTAGTAATTTTTTTGACATTGACAGAGTAAATGATGAAATTAGTCGACATCCTTATTTCAAATAATTTGCTGGAGTGAATCAATAAGTTCATTTATTTAATTAAGAATATACTTCATTCTATTTAAGAAAGTAATTATTATTAATTATTATTTTAGAAATTCATTAGATGCAGTTTAAAATAGTCTAAATTTTATTGTTAGTAAACATAGATTACTCAATTAAGAATAGCCATAATTATCAGAAAATACTTCCAAATTTATTAATTTCTTTTATCTTATTCTTATTAAATTGGTTAAATTAATTGAAGAAACTCTTATAGATTTAGAAGATAAACATGCTTTAATATAAATGAATTTTTTTTTAGCAGGATTATTAGATTAAATAGAATAAATATTAAAGTAATATCCATTGTTATCAAATCTATTTGGAATAGCACTCTTAGGTTAATTGTAATTAAATGATCCTTAAATTGGTTTTGGACATTAATGTGATGATAATTTCTTTAATGTTAAAATAGAAGATACAAATATTAATCAAAATTGTAAATGTTTAATTTTTGATGCACTTATACGTTATGTTTCATTAATAACTCCAACTTTATAAAAGAAATTCATAACCATATTAATTGATTATTAAATATTATCAACTAAAGATCATTTAATTAAATTGGGATCAATATTATTAAAAAATTAATTCTTTTTGAATAGTCAAATAAGTAAAGTAGAAATGTATTATGCTACTGATGTAAGTGTTTTTAATCATATGTTAATATAAGCAACTGCATATAAGGAAGTGAGATAAGAATTAATTAAACCAGATTTGTTAGATTTATATTTTCTATATACAGAAAGAGTTGTTGCATAAAACAATCCTAAATTTATAGCTAAAATATTAACTAGTCTTATAGCTTCACATGTTATGATTTATCCTATTTTTGGAGATGAAGAGATATTATCTTAACTTATTAATAATGAAAAATAATAAACATTAGTTGTTGTTCATTTTCTAGGAATGCTATTAATTTTGGAAACTAAAGATACAATAGATTTTAAAGAAAATCCAAATGTTTAGATGTTGGATTGGTTAGCATTAAATATGGATTTCATGCTTGCAGTTGAAGTGTTATCATATTTATAAAAATAATTTTTATTGAAAATATTTAGAAATAAAGTAAGTGATATTCCATTATTAATGAAATAATATTTATAATGTTTACGTGTAACTCATAATAAGAGAATTTAATAAAGAACTATGTAAAAGAAATAATTTGATGTTAATGCAATATTATAATAAATGATTGGATATTTAACAGCTATTTAAGTAACAGAATTACCATCAAAAGAATCTTTTACTAAATTAATTAATTTGATTCCATTTTAAGATTAGAATGAACAATCTAATATATTTTCTAATATATTACGTATAGTTTATGATCTTCCAACTATTAACTTTCATTTTCTAAAATTTGTATTAGAAAAATGTGAAAAAATATCAAAAGAATCAATATTAAGTTATAATGGTTATTACTCACATATATTAACTGCACAAACAGTTTCATTTGACTCCTATATGTTCTCTGTTCAATTATCTTTATTATTTGGAAGACCTGAAGCATTATTAAATGAAATTAGTGCTAGAATGAAGAATGATTTTTCTAATTTTGAAAGATATGAAGATTTTCTTACAAGAGATGTATTATTATATTATTAATTATATTAGATTATATTATTAATAGATTTATTAGAAAATCCATATTATTGTATGAATATATTAATGTAAACTGGATCAGAATTCCCTTAAAAAAAAGAAATCATGACATAATTGTATTAATATGCTGCAATATCAATTTTGAAATTAAATGACTAAATGACATAGCTTTAATTATTGGAAACATTACAATTGTTTATTCATATTTAAGAATTACCTTAATATATTAAAGATTTAATTGAAGATGGATAAGATGGCAAAGTTAAGTTAAAGTATCAATACTCTCAAAATTGGCCATACTTGAATTTGTAAAAGGATATGGAATCAGTCAAATACTTTTTGAGTAAAGCTACAGATCCATTTGATGAAGTAATACTAAAATTTTAATAGATAGTTATTATATGCTCCAGATTCATTTCCCTTTTTATTTGAAATCAGACAATTAGTGTATAATTGTGAATCATTTATTAAGATAATTGAATTGGCATTATAATCAAAAGATAGAATGAAATTGTATGTTTGGATTGGTAAATTTTTATATTATGGAAAATAAATATTGTTGAAAAAGGGATCAACAAAAATGGATTAATTGTTTGCTTTGGATGAATGCAAATCATTTATTCAAGAGTTGATTGAAAAAGAAGGATGCAATAAATTAGTACAATACCTTTAACAGTGATATATCGTTATTTTAATTAAAATGGAAGAACTTATATGTCCATAATGTCATAATATATTCAATGAATTCGACAATACTCCTCTAATGCTTCCAGATTGTGGCCATACTATCTGTCAACAATGTATCCAATCAATGTTATCCAATGCTGATGGCTAATAGATCTCCTGTCCAGAAGACAAGTATTATTCTTTCTTAATTCTAGTATATTGGCTAAAGGTAAGACCAACATCTCAGAATTTCCTAAAAATTGCTAGCTTATGAAAATGATTTTAAAATAGAGACCATCTATTGAATAACCTGAATATTAGTTAAATTTAAACAATTTTGCAAAAGAACAAATTGAATTGTGTGGTGAACATCTAGAAAAGTTAGAGATTGTGTGTTTAACAGATAAAATTAGAATTTGTACTAAATGTGCATTATTTGGAAATCATAGACATCATGAAGTGAAATCTGTTGATGATGTAGTTAGAGAAGTCACTCTTAAGGCTGAAAATATTATGTAGACTTATTAAAAAATCTTGGATAAATAATAAGAAATGACTGAGTCTAAGTTTTATGAACATCTGTCAGATAAATTTTCAATTATGTTCTAAGATAGTTAGATGTCAGTTAAGGAGAAATTTAAAGAATTACATCAATAATTAGAGTAAAAGGAGAATAAATTATTGGAACAATTGAATACTCTCTATTAAACTCTTGAATAATAGACTAAAAAATAGATCAAAGATCAAATTTAATAGAGTTTATAATAAGCTGAATTATGGAAGATTGGAGCTAAAGATCGTTTATTATATTTCTCTACTAAAACAGATAATGGTGAATTACCTTTAGATCTACTTTATAATTAAGAATTTAAAGGTAATGCTATAATTGAAGAAATGGATAGAACCATAAAAATATTAGAATAGAAAATTAATAATATTAGAATCAGAAAAATTAGAGTTGATTTTAAAAAAACAGAAATAGAAAAGTGTTTTGATACAATGTGCTCATTAACATTATAATTAAATCATACTGAAAATAATTCTGTAGAAAATAGTTTTACAAAATTTGATTAAGAAGATCCACTTCTATTAAGAGATAATTCAATAGCAGATTGGACTGATACTGATGAAAGTTTGATTACATCAGTCACTTAAAATTAAAGTCATATTTCAACATAATCAGTTATATAAGCAAAGAGTCCTTTAAGAACTTAAAATTTAACTTAATCTCATCATTCAATCACTCCACTCAAAAACATTAAATAAAAAAGTCCAAATAAGGAATAATAAAATAATACTCTTTAACCTCCAGGTCCAATATCAATATTACGTTAAGGTATATCTCCAACACCAAAATTGCAAGAACGTAGAAAGAAAACATTTAAAATGAATGAAAAATTTGATTCTATTTGGTAGGCTTTCAAAAATGATAATTTAGAAATTGTAGACTTTTCTAATGCTGGTATGTATTTTATTTTTATATATTATAAGAATTAGGAGATGAAGGATGTTAAATAATTGCAGATTAATTGAAAATTTGTAAAAAAGTAAAATAATTAAAATTGGCAAGAAATAAGATTAGTGATGATGGTGCTTCTGTGTTATTATAAGCTTTAGCTTAAAATGGGAATGTAGTTTCATTGCATTTATCTTCAAATATGATTACTGAAAGAACTTTGGATTAAATCTTATAATTAATTAAATCATCTTAACTACCTAAGAACATTTATTTATCATAAACATTAATAAATGCTACAAAATCTAAGAAAAAGGTTGAGGAACTTAAAAAGTTAGGATTTATTGTTAACATTTGATGAAATTAATTATTTGATATTCAATTATATTTTAATATATATATATATATATATACAATCTATTTTTTAAGTGGAAGACAAGATATGTAATTTCATATGTAATTAATAATAATTATAAATTAATAAATGCGATAGAAGTAATATAAATATAAAAATTGAATATAAGAGAGAAATATAAAATTATAATAAATATAAATGATGAAGCTTCCTCCAAGTTATAGAGATCCTAAGATTTTCAACAACAAATATATTATCAAATAATAGATTTCATCAGGTTCATTTGGTATCGTGTATTTGGCATTTGACAAGCACACAAGAGAGGAAGTGGCTGTAAAAATAGAAAAAGAAGAAAATGAAGATGTTAGTTCTCTTGATAGAGAAATTTCCATTCTTAATCGTTTAAATGGAGTACCTGGAACACCTAAACTTTATTGGAGTGGATTTGAGTAAGACTACAATGTGATTGTAATCCAAATTTTGGGCAAGGATCTGAGTCAATATATAAAGCAATATAAGAAGTTTAGTTTGAAGAGTGTATTACAGATT